TTGAGAGGTCGTTTATTATTCGGGGTTTGTTTTTCACTTTTCAGTCCTTTCCTGTCTTGGTTTTATTTGTTGCGATGTGGTGTGGTGGCTAATGGTGCTTTCTAGGGCAAACTTGTCTCGTGCGGAATCCGTGCAGCCAGACTGTGACGAGGCAGAATGTCGATGGCTCTTGGTCTTTTTGTATCCCGCGGCCGTTGTCTGGCGGCACCATCATTGGGGGCACGAAGCAGCCGCGCGATTATGATCCTACTCCGTCGCTGGAGACGAGGGAGAAGTTGCTGGCCAACGCGGCCAAGTGGTTCCCGTTTGCGCCGGGGAGTGAGGGCAAGTTTGATGTTATTCGCGATATTGTGGGTAGGAGGCCGGCCCGAGAGGGTGGAATGAGGATTGAGGCGGAAAAGGTCGGGGATGGTCGGTTTGTGATCCATGCGTATGGGGCTGGCGGGAGAGGCTTTGAGTTATCATACGGAGTGGCCGGGGATGTCGTGAAGTTGATGGTGGGCAATAAGTTGGTTGGCGAAAAGGCCTCGTTGTAGAAATCGTACACACCTCTCTCCTTGTATTGTTGTCAGTTGGGGGGACGTGTTTGGATTGATTGTATGAAAATGTTCAGTTTTGAGACGACATTTGCTCTATACAACCTCTAAAACTCCCAGTGTCTATATGATCGCAGGTGACTTTCAAGTCTAACATTCAGGAAGCGCATATATCATAATACCTCGTCGGCAAAAGAAAAAGAAAACGCTAAGTTCATTTCATCAACGAACGTTCTTTTTTACGTACAAAACCTGGGCATAACAAATGGTGTCCTTCACTCCGCCATGAAATGCACGACACACGATCTATCTCAATCTTGTGTACACGGCTGTTGTCTTCTAGAATCTTTGGGCATGAAACCGGCTTGGCCGGAGTTCACGATCAAAGATGACACACAAAACGTCACACGTTAACCGCAGCCCTCAGTCGAGGAGACCAATACAAGTGATTACTCGGTAAGATGAGCGACCAAAGATAAACAACATTGTATCTATCATCCAGGAGATCAACACTGCGGGCCCGGACAAAGGCCTGGTTCACCGATTCCAGGGTGGGGGCGCTGCCCGAAAGCCCAAGCGTCGCAGTTTCTTGGGGGGATCGCACACGCTCAGCCTTCACCCTCCTGTGCAATGGTTTCGTCGTTCGAAATCGGTACCGGTGTCCCATGCAGTCTCGCCAGCCGTTCTTCTTCCTTCTGTTCCCGGATCCGTTCCGTCTCCCTGCGGAGGGCAGCCAGGTTGAAGCTATCGTCGTCATCCTCCTCATCGCTGCTCTCATCCTCGGCACGCCAGTTACCGCTCTCAAACAATGTTCGTCCAGTGGCTTCCTTGGCCTTGCGGGCTTGTTCTTCGGCTTGCTTCTTGTCCAGACGCTGCTTCTTCCACTCGGCGAAGGTTTCCGGGGTAACCGGTGTCAGATTGCCCGTGAGCTTGTGTCGTTCGCTTTCAAGCCAGTCTTCTAGCGTTAGGGTGTTGAGCGGGGACTTGTCCATCAAGGCCTTCTCAGCCGCACGCTGCTCCTTCGTCTTCAGGACGAATCTGGTGAAAGTCAATCAGTATCAATCAAAAGAAAAAGTGCTAAGACAACAGCGCAACATACCCAGGGGGCAAACTGTGCTTATACTTGCAGGTGTCACCTCCATTGGGACAGACCCAGAACCAACCGTACTTCTGGTTCTCGACCGCCTCGATGAAGAACTTGCAGACCTTATCAGTAGTCGTCTTCGGGTTTCCGTGCTTGCTGAGGACGACGTTGCGCAGTTTCTCTTCATCCCAGTCGTCCATCGTATCCTTCTTCTTGTTCTCTTCTTCCGTGGCCTTCACATCTCGGGAATCGGTGTACAGATCCTTCTTAGCAGCCTTGCGCTCCACATTCGGATCGTGACTGAACTTGCACTTCTTTCCCTTTTCACAATTGCCCTGCTTGAAGAAGACACACAGAACGGTCTTGGGGTCCACACCGAAGGGAATCTTCTGCACCTGCACCGGCTTGAACAGCTCGGCCGCCTCCTTCTTCGCCTGATCGGCGGCCTTCTTCTCAGCCTCACGACGGGCCTTCTCGGCCTCTTTCCGCTTCACATCAGCGGATTTGTTCGACTTCTCCTGGGTTCTTAATTGTTCGATCTGTTTCTTGGCCTGGGCACCTTTTTTCTGTAGGATGAAAGATTTTGCTGTCAGTGGCGATTTCTCTCTCGGACGACCGTCGGGGGTGTTGAAAGAGGGGGAAATTATGCTATCGGGAGATCGCTACATACGTTTTTCATGCCAAAGGTCTATAAAAAAAATCAACGTTAGCGACGTTTATACGATCACGCGATCGGGGTGACAAACCTTGTCCTCGACCGTGGCCTTCTTCTTCTTGGGCTCATTGCTCTGCTTCTTGGGAGGCATGATGGCGGTTTTTCCTTTTCTCTAATACTCTCTATCGATAAAACGCTGCAAACCCGACCAGATAAGGATAGATAGCGCACGCCTGTCTAGCGGTGGCGGTGGTGTTGATCGAAACGAACCTCCCACAGTCGACGGGTCGAAAACCGTTGGTGGGGGATTAAATGCGAGGGCGGAGGCTTTTGAAAACAACAAAAGCCGGATTGCCCGAAAAAGAATCAAAAAGGAAGGGAAGAAAGATGAAGGGTCAAAGAACACCTCTCGCGGTTACCGAGACGAGAGGGAAACGATCGTGGTGGTCTGAAGGAGATCTTTCTTTTCGGTGAGTTGAAGGATTGATCTTCCTCCACATTTTCGAGGTGTGGGTTTGTTTCCCGTATTGTGGCGGCACCGCCAACAGATCTTTTTGCCCTGTAAGAGGCACCGTTCTGATGCTCTTACTAAGGGGTCATTTACTCCATTCTTTTTCCTGCATGGCCCCTACCACGTTGATTCTCGTGTTCTCGAGTAATGGGAAATGCGGCCAAGACTGGCTATTTTCTTTTGGGTTACATATTAGCAAAATAATTAGCTCATCAGACAAGTATCTTGATCTCCGGTTGCTACCAGGTACAGAGAGGAGACCTAGTATAGCACGACATTCGATGTTCAGTACCATGCGTCTTCTGAAAGCCTGCTAGTAGCACTCGAGATATTGATTTATTGTTTACTGCTGTGTCTAGAATGTTTCGCAAGTCTGAGCGTATATTGTATAACGGGAAGAGGTAGTATACCCCGTGGTTATATATATTTGCGCCTTTCCAGGCTCACGAACAACCCGGACAGTCCATCGCGAAGCAGCCCTAGTACAGGTCCATGAACGGAACATTCGAAGTCTTCATCTCACTAGACCCAATCTTCTTTTTCACAGAAAACCTCATTACAAAGAAAATTCTTCCAACCTGTCGTAGGATCGCGACTGGCCTTGCTATACTCCCAGTACTGGGGATAATACCCAGCAAACTCCCAGTCCACCAGGGCAGTGATCTTTCCCTGACCATTGACAAGGATATTGCGTGGCACAATATCGCCATGGGTGAAAAAAAAGTCCTCGTGTTTCTGTGGTGGATCGTCGTCCTGTGAAGAGTCGTCTTCTTGTGATGAATCGTCCTGTGATGGACATATCATCGTAGCCACACTGTTTTCGCTAAGGGAACTGTTGAATTCCTTCCTAGAATTGAATGGCCCGACCTCTTTAAGTTGTTGGAAATTGGATATGATCCTTGCTGGCCCATCATTCAGGGCCCCAATATATGTACCCTTAAGCTTACGAAGCTCGGTGACATACCGCCTCAAATCCTCGGCGAGAACACCTTGTTGGGCCTTAGTGAAGTCCATCCACACCATGTCAAGTGCTTTACCCTCCACAAAGTCCATGGTGATCTTGTCGACTTGATCGTTTTTCCAATGAACCAAAATTGGTAGCCCTTGTTCATCATTCTTTCGCTCGAACACTTTACCGTTTTTCAAGTGGATGTTGGTTGATTTGCCTTCCCCATCATAGCGGACGTCGAGCCTTTTGTCTCCGTAGTGGATGCTACGGACTTTTGGAACCGGGATCTCTGTATTGTCATTGATGAAGATGAGCGAAAGGGCCTCGTAGATCTTGAAATCCTCCCCGCTCTTTACTATCTTCCCATCGATGTATTCTACCGTATGGGTCCCTTTATGGTATATTACTTGGTTCTGAGGGATATCATCTATTGCTTAGGGTTAGCTGATGTCATAAGTAGATGGATGATATGCTTACCATTACGCGCCATTTTGAGAACACCGTAGACTGCAACACTCTTGAAGTTACATATTAGGGCAAACAGATAGGAAAAGCAAGATCATTTTATATAAACGAGCCTATATAATTGCAGAGCGCTTCTCGCTCCGCAATAAAGGGTTTCAGAGCTCTATGAGGAGAATCAAGAGATGTTTCACCAAATAAAGAGTTGATCGTGCCATGACGGCGCTTTTCATATTCAAAACGGCTTTGAGGCTCCGTTTCGAAGGAGAGATGGGGTGGAGGGTCTGAACTGTGGTTGTGTGAAGTGATGATATGTAAGTGTTATGTATGGATGCTTTCATCAGTGTGACCCAACACGCCGATGTTGGCGGTTGGTTGACTGTAGAGACAATGAATGAGACGGTGTGGTTACCCCATGTTCGAGATTCGGACAAGGGTTCTATGATCTTCCCAGACGGCTTTATCCTCGGGTTCTACAGGACAAAGAGACATGGTCCTAACACTGACGAATACCAAAAAGTCAGCGAAGTCGACTGGGAAGAAAACGTGTATAGAAATGCGTTTTTGTACTCCTGGACAACCCGGATGCCTTGCGCGTTTGTTACCATGCATGCACCAAAATGGGAAAATTAACCTCAAATTACATATATTGCACTATCTCGATATCTCAGGCATCAAGAGTAGGTACCAGTACGTTTACACCCCCCATGGTACTCAATGCGTACATTACCCCCCGAACACTGATTCATCCTCCTAAACTCTCCATCCCGCATATCATACTGTAGCGCACATCTGAGCGCAATAGGTAGTATCTCGGATCATCTCATACAACTCATTGAATCTTATTTTAATTCGTCACCAAAGTCATGGATCAAGCCCGTTTCAAATGATTTTTAAGCATATAATTAAGACACCTCCTGAATCTTGGAGGACTTAGCCGACTCCCCAGCGTCCTTATCAGCCTCCTCAAGCTCGGGCATCTCATCATCATCCTGGAACAAGTAGTCAGTATTTGCAACTGTATGACGTTGATAACTTTGCCTGCGAAAGGGACGGAACCTACCGAGCCGACCTCAGCACCTTCACCACCAAGACCAGCGCCACCCATTCCCTCAAGGCCTGCGCCGAGCTTGGAGAAGTCAATGTTTCCAAGACCACCGCCCTCGCCGCCGCCGAGGCCTTCGAAGCCGCCGAAGTTATTCGCATAGTCATCCTCAGCAGCCTCGTCCTGCTCATCCTCATCGACCCACTGCACAATTATCAGTATCGCACATAGTCGTGTTGGAAGAGGTCGCATTCCATACCTTATCGAAGTCGGTCTTGATGAAGTGGATCTTCTGAGTGGTCTTGAGAAGACGGGGCCAGTACTCCTCCTTCAGCTCCTTCTTACGCAGGACCAACTCAACTTCACGGTCGCTGTGGTTCACCTTGGAGTTCTCGGGGTCGATCTCGGCGTACAAATCCAGGGAGACTTCATAACGAACACCCTTCTTGGAATCACCGGCGAATGTGACATTGGTGGGAGTAATGTTGAGGGTAGCTCCGGCACGAGCTACATCGGAAGCCTTGATGTTCACGTAGAGGTAATTGCGCTCAGCGTCGTCGGCAGATGAGCGCTGGGCCCATGTGACTGGAGGGTTCCCATATGTTAGCGAACCTCGATCCGATTAGGAAAGAATCAGTGCGTTAATGGATTCGAGAAAAAGCCTTTGAGCTTATTCTGCTCTTATCCCCTCTCCTAAATACGAGAAGAAAAAAAACCGATACAGAACGCCAAGGTGGGAAGGTTATGTTGGCATAACTTGCAACAAAGCGGGGAAAGGTAAGAGGGGGAGTCTGCAGAATTACGTACCTTCAGGGTGGGCCTTGGGAAGCTCAGACATAATGAAGGTGGGATGTGTAACGGGGATTGTATGGATAAATGGAAGTGAAGATGAGAAAAGGGGGATATATTGGCCAGTGGAAGGGAAGGATTATCGTGAAGGGTCAGTTGGAAGCTGAAGAGGTTGAGACTAAGCGTGTTTGGTGAGTAAGGGAAGAATAGTACTAGTAATATTCGTCCTACGAATACCAACCACAGCTGATGATCCGCTCTAGAAAGTACTGGAACTCTCACTCCTGGCCCGCTGTTTGACCTGTTTGCGGACTGTTGTCTGCCTGGGGCACCAAATTCACTCGACGTCACTGGAAGGCGGTCACTCACTTACAACCGCTCGCTGACTCAGCAGGGACTGGATCGTCCGTTCGCTGGCCACGATCATGTTTGATTCTGGATCAACGAGATCGACCACAATGCTGATTACACTCACAAGTGAGGATCATCGAACTCGCGGTGTGATTTAACCCCGTTTAACGTACACGGTAACGCTGTCAACCTGAGCTCATCCCCGGCTATCTCACCACATTGCCGAGGAATCCTGTGCGCTGAGAGATCATCCTGCCTTGATAACCCCACCTACTGCAACGGCCCAGTCCATAGATATTGTATTCTGAGCCTTGTGCCGATACGGTCCCGACCTTTCTGAATTACCTTATATATCTTCCCCACCCCTGCTGTTCACATACAGGCTATTCGCCATAGGCTCCACAATATCAAAGGTCTAGTATAGAGAGATCAGTGTGTTAGCCCGATTCATTATGGAGACTCTCAAAGCGGTCTTTTTCGGTCCCGATCCTCAGGCACAGGTATGCTCGGATTAACTACGCTCTCAGACTTGATCATTCTAACAAGATTTCCATGGACAGATGAGAAAATGCAACGCACTCATCCGCGCCAATACTCGCCAATTGGACCGCGATATTGCACAGCTCAGGACTCTGGAGAACAAAACGCGGCAATACATTATGAACGCCTCCCGTCGAGCCGAGCGAAATCCATCACAGTCGAAGCAGGCCACTAAGGAGGCTAAGACGTTTGCTCGCGAACTGGTTCGGATCCGGAAACAATCCACCCGTCTACACACGAGCCGAGCCCAACTACAGAGCGTCCAGATGCAGGTCAACGAAGCATTCTCGGTGCGCAAGATCCAGGGAAGTCTGAAGAAGTCGACTGGGATCATGAAGGACGTCAACACCCTCGTGCGACTACCCGAATTGAACGCGACGATGCGTCAACTTTCGACCGAGCTGGTCCGGGCTGGTATCATCGAGGAAATGGTAGATGATGCGATGCCAGACAATGAACTCTACGAGGATGAACTGGATGAGGCTGAGGAGGAGGTTACTAAGGTCTTGCAGGAGATCTTGCAGGGAAAGCTTGCGCAAGTCGACGCGGTCAAAGCCGAGGAGCCATTGGAGGAGACTCCCGCCGCCGAAGAGCAGTTCGAAGACCAGGAGGCCACTCTCGAACAAATGAGAGGCCGACTGGAAGCCTTAAAGAGCTGAGTGCTATGAACCCCGGATTGAGCCTATGTCTACGTATGCCTGTAATATGATGTTACGAGCGACCCTGAAATGCTGCCAAAAGCATGGTTCTTTGTTATATATTCATTCTTGGAGTTCGGCCGGTGGAGCACGTGGGGTTTGGTTCATTTGCATTTTTTTTGTGTCTACTTTAGAGGCAGGCCCTGATTTCCAGAGTATGCAAGGTTATTTCAGCGTTGTCTCAATCCATTGTCATAACTTCTATATCGACCACATGGTACATGTCATTATCATTCTTGGAGTGGGTCGAGGGTCTTTGCCTTCTAATCCATTCTTGTATAGGTGAGCCATGGCATTGATGTTAAAAATGACTCTATTAACCCATGAATAATGAATAACAATGAATTGGAGGTATAATGAATGTCAATATATGTTATTCCGTGTCAAAGTATCAATCGAGCGTAGTGTTGATGTTGGTCAAACACGGTCAGGTCGGTCAGTGACGTTTCTATTTGCGGATGGGGCGACAACCGCCCCCAAAGCGGACTAGCGGCAGAACTCAGCCTCTCCTCCGGTCTTTCCTTGTTGTCCCTCGACTTCCACCCGCGCCTGTTTGTCTTCCCGCATTTGCCTCTTCTCTCCTTTTTATCATCTCAACATCGCGCCGTTTATCTAAACGTGGTGCAAAATTGACTCTAATACTTCTGTTCAACTCCACTATCTACCACTTATCGCGCAAGCTACGCCTGCTAGAGCAAGCGTCTCAAAATCAGACTTTTACGCCCCCCTTGCTGTTGCGAACCTTTCTTCGGTGACGCAACGACTGACACGCTCGAACTTGTTGGATCTTTTGAGAGTCGCTAGTATCGCCCATATTCATCTATTCTTCACCTAACACAATGTCTGGAAAGTTGGACAAGTCTCTGGACGAGATCCTCGTCAACCGCCGTCAGGGCGCTCGTCGCCGCAATCGTCGCTCAACCCAGTCTAAGGCTGCCCCGGCCGCCGTTGGAGGAGTCAAGAAGAGCACGAGGGCTGCGAAGCCAGCCGGCAAGGTTGCCCAAGCTGGACACCCTATGTCAACTGAAAGCAAAATCATGGTCAGCGGCTTGGTAAGTCTCGATTCTCGTGCCTTAATCTTGGCAAGGACACTGTTTGCTAACGTGACCAGCCTTCCGATGTGAATGAGGCCAATATCAAGGTATGTTGATTAAGAGGCCTTCGCCTTGGGTTTCTATCGCCATGTCTTTCTTTCTCGAGACCTTTGAGGCGCACCGGCTCTTACACACGTTCCGACCCTTGTCACGACGTCCTCATATCTTCGCGACCGTTCTTGGTCACTTGAAAAGGCAGCGTACTCCTTTGAGCCATGTTCGCGCGCTATTTGAAATCTAGCACTTCGCGAGTCAGCCGAAGTTGAGTCCTGCCTGCAGTCTTGCGAAAAGTGTATCATGCTTGAGCGGATCTTTTAGCAATCCGCTCGCGAGATCGCTGCAGACTGTGCTACGAATGGTAGTTGAAACACACCGTTCTGATTTCATCCCGCTTGGCCACACCTTTTGAATTTGCACTTCGGGTGTCGGGCATCAGCGAGCGCACCAGCAGACCAGTAGGGCATTAGTCCATACAGCAGGCAATTTTCTCCTGAAATTTCTCTCCCATCGTCTCTGTCTGAGTGTGCCATGTAATATGGGAAGAGGCACCTCGATTGTGACTTTGGTGGGACCCGTTAGGCCTTGCTTCGCCCTGAGATGGGCTATTATGTGGGTGTCTGGGGGAACCTGATTAGTCTTCACCGCACACCAATGATAATGTCTTGACTACGTCGGTACTTTGTATTTGGACATGGTGTTGGGTGGATCCGACCCTGGTTCAAATAAGTGTGGAAGTGGATTTTTCTTGGTACCGGCCGAGGTGGATTAGGAACTGCGAAGAAGGCACGACTTTCAGTACAATGGAAATATTGGCGGCCATTGATGCAGACTTGGGATGCCTGTTCACTGTCTCGGGCTTTCAAACCTGTTGCATCTAACCCTTGAGGGTCTTACTAACTGCCGCTGTGTGCTCGCTGATGCTCTCGCTGTGGAATTTCGGTCCAACCTACGCGTCTTTTTTCTCGAGCTTTCGTTCATGCCAGCGTCTACAACCATGTGACTAAATCTTCATGAGCACAAGTACTAATCATGTGTGCTGGATATAGGAATACTTCTCTAAATCCGCAGGACCCGTCAAGCGAGTCATGCTCACTTACAACCAAAATGGCACTAGCCGCGGCATCGCCTCGATCGTCTTCAGCAAACCCGACACGGCTGCCAAAGCAGCCAAGGATCTGAACGGACTCCTTGTTGATGGACGTCCCATGAAGGTAAGTTTCTTACCTCATTCTCTAATTTCCCGATGGGCTGAGTCTAATGTTGTACAGATTGAGGTTGTCGTTGATGCCAACCATGCCCCCGAAGTCCCCGCTGCCAAGCCCCTTGGTGAGCGTGTCGCGTATGTCTATGTCCATGGTGCTATTAAAGGACTAGTACTAACCAAAAACAGACAAACCAAGTCCCAACCCAAGCCAGCCACTGCCAGCAAGGCTGCCGACAGCAGTCGTGGACGTGGCGGCCGTCGTGGTGGCCGCCGCGGACCCAAGCCTAACCGTCCCAAGCCCAAGACCGTGGAGGAGCTTGACGCTGAGATGATGGACTATTTCTCCAACGAGAACGGCGGTCCTGCCGAGGGCAACGCCCCTACGACCGCGCCGGCTCCGCAAGCCGCCAACGGTGGCGAGGATCTTGGAATGGCTGAGATTTCTGTAAGTTGCCCTGGCCTGGGGTAACCTGGAAGACTGGCTAACATGTGTATCAGTAAATGTATCGTGGTACCTTCATTTCAATTGCAGAGGCAGGTTACTTCTGCCAAGTCAGGTTGGCTTCTAGTCAGCTAGGGATGCCATCCGGACTTGATCTTCGGATTCGTGTTTCGGTTCTCTTTTTGCCCTTTTCACTTTTCTCGCCGTATGTTTTCTTAGTTTGGTTTTCTAATGTCTCTTCTGTTATTTGACTCGTTGACGGGAACTGGAGGACGACTTGTATGTATTTAATAAACGGATCGTTGCAATGAAAACCCGAGGTGAAAACGTGAAATGTTGCCAGCTCTATGTAGTTTTGGGTTGTGACCAGGCTGGTCCTGGCCTATGGGACTAATGCATCTTTATAATATAATACCAGTCATATTACAGTCCTAGATTTCTCACCTTTCCGCTTATTATGAGCACTGAGTGGAGGTGTCTTGATGCCACGGTTATTGTCAATGTAAGTTGGCAATATGAATAACCCGAGGCAGGAAGATTTACATGTCCATCTTTCCATCATCACTTGAGCTTCACTTTCCCAGGAAGTCTCCACGGGAATGTTAAATTGCAGGAAAGCTGACATGCCCGGAACAGGCTACCTGCATAACAGGCTCTAGTGACACATCTTACTCTATACGTCTCTTAGTCTTTTGAATCTCCCATTCTCCTGACTTTCTAGCTCTCTCTGGAGTTGAGCCCGCAAACAAATTCTAAATTTACAGTCAGTAACGGCCATATAATTCCCTTCCAAGTTCATATTCCAGATGCATCAACTGATAGACAAACATCCAAAATATACAAGAATATAGGCAAAATCCAAAAAAATTAGTACATTCATGAAATCAGCAGAAGTCAAAAGTACATCGGTGTCATACACACAGCTGCTCCAGTAGCCCCTGGATGGAAGCTCATAAAGTGGAGCAGAAGTTTCACAGTAGTGCGTAGTGTACCCTGTATATGTCCGGTTGTGACTATCAAAGCTGAATACGGAAATGGTATCGTATTTTGGGGTAAGGATCTTTCGATCTTAAGTTTCAACCAATAATATTTTACATTCTTGACGCACTGGCATGCACCATAGACTAGATAGTGCGGCGTCTTGATCTGTTTTTCATTATGTTTGGGACTTAGTACTTCTATGATCCCTGATCTGCAGGATAGGGTTCCAAGCCATGATGATATCTTGGCGTGCTGAGAGTGTGACGATAGAATATAGGTCACAAGGGCTTGATGTGTCACATCGTAGGGCGACAAACAGATGGCATTCTCGGAAGATAATTCCGTTGTGCTGATCAGGAATGTATGTAAATGCCGAAAGAAGAACTAAACTTCCGCTTTCGTCGAAACAACGGCACAGGTAAACTCAAGCTTCGAATTAATATAGATGTGCTATATTCAGCCGGATGCGGATATGTAGAAGCGTGACTTCATTCAAGCAGTTTCTGTATTAAGAGCTTCTTCCGAAATGAGATGAGATATGACCTGTGTGCAGGTTACCCATCCCTTTACCGATTGTAAGCATCCGAATCCGCATTGACTGACAGGTCTGGTCATAGACCCTACTCCGGTATATCGAATATAGCATATGTGAAAGGCTGTGTGTGTGTCTAACGCATCATGATTAAAACTGCTAGGTCTTGTAATAGACTGATATTTGCAATGAAATGAAAAAATGTCACACATCCTTCCCGATCGCACACATAGAAATAACACTTTTACCTTCCGTATGAAAGCCCATACAACGGGAACAGCGATTCTCAATCCGGGGTATCAACGCCGTTTCTGTTGTTGAGTGGACCACCCGGTCTAGTGGGAATTATCGAAGGACTTCAATAGACCGAGCTCTTGGGCATGCTTCGCAAGGTCGTGTAAATGTCCAACACAAGCGTCTTGGGATGCCACGCAGCCGTGAAGTTTCTCATGCTCTTTGTGACACAGGCGGGGAAGAAGCATATCGATCTCAGCCGGGGAAAGTTTGTCGTATTCTTTCACAAGGCCATTCAGAGTAGGGGGTTCGTCGCCTCTGGCCAAGATGGATCTTCTTTGATGCATCGTCGACCATGCGGCGGGAAGGAGGGCGAATGTGGAGAGGAGGATCAAGGATTGAGTGAGACGCATTTTGAATGAAGATAGTTGTTTCTCGGTAGTTCTGAGGTTTTGGATAATGGTGGTAGCTTCAAATTAGAGCACAGCAGACAATTGATAATGACTACTGTTTTAATCACATCCTACGTAGGTGGCTCACTTTATATAGCTTTCTGCCTCTAAGTTTGTATAAAAGCATTAAGCAGAGAAACCGTATTGTTATCTGCATGGGGAATAATACTCCGTGGTGCGAGATGATCTGCGATCTGATTCCATATCGGAAATGGCCATATCGATCAATTTCAGCGGTTATCACTGTTCCCGGCACGGAACGCAGATCATCGTACGGGTCTAAGATCGGTTTCTTTACCCTCGGCCAATAATGGACATTGTACGTCAGAGATTTAAACTCTCTGGTGAATATGCTTTGTGTGCTGCTTCTTCAGCTGCTGTCCACGAAAACGGAATATCTGAAGATTCCTCCTCCGGCTTCAGACCCACTACATGATGAGAATATGGACTTATGAGGTAATCTTCTATGATGTCTCGATAGTTAAGTAATGAAAGACACGTGCCCCTGGAAAAGGATCCCGGTTCTGTGGCATGGAGCTGTAAATGATTGGGGGGGGGCACTGGTCCCTACCGTGGTGGGCATTCTACTGGCTTACTGAGGAGAGCAGTTTTATCATGTCAGTTAAGCTGTCAGAGTAAACTAGCCTTTTCGTAGAGTCCGTGTGGTAGGAGAAGCTGGCCATAAATATCACCTTCTATGTGAATGGTTGTAATATAAAGAGGTCTGGAATAGATGCTGGTTCCGCAATTTCACATTCTTGCTTCTTCTTTGGTTTTCATCTTGTCTGTTTAAACAGCCATCCATCATCTTATCAAAATCCCTACACTATACAAAGCACTTATGGAATCTGTGTATCTCAACTGGGTTTTCGCTTTCCCCTCTTCTTTCTGGACGGGAGGATTCAAGTAGCTGAAAGACTTTGTAGGACACAGGCTCTCTCCTCGACAACTCGGTCTCGGTTGTATTTTTGTGCGAAACATAGTTGATATGTTTTCATATCACACGTTCAATAATAATGCTTAGAGAGATAGAAGATTACCACTTAGAGAACTTGACCACAGTGGCATTATTACAACTTGATGGAGTCTACCTTTTCCCAGACGGTGATCTTGCGGCTTTTACGAAGTATGGTTTACAGATAATATTGTCGACAATTCAGGAAAATATAGACGTCTATCAATATCGTTAATCCCCGTATAGACGGTTGTCTACCTTATGCATCTGTACAGTCTCAATGGGATTAATAGTGAGCATGCAATTTTATAGTGATTGACTGGCGCCACCGTCGCTCCTTACTATCCCCCTTTCAAAATGCTTTACCCCTGTGGGTCCGAGGGCGTTGCCTTCAACGAGCTCTCTTATAGGCATGCGAATATCTATTTGTAGGTCCGGGGTACTACAATACCTCAAAGTCTATCGCACGAAGACAAGCTGCCACACGTAGCCCGCCTGGGCCAATTGATAAAGACAATATCCTCTCTGGGTTGATAATGGGGTATAGCTATTCTCCTTAATGCCATCGGCAATACCCCAAAGTGGGACCCTGGGGTTTCGGGCCGGAATACCTGGCACCGGCAGTAAGAGTTTCTTGATGATCCACAATTACCAAGGAGGTCACTGGGGGATTTCCGAATATGCTCACATTTGGCTTCAATCAAACAGACGGCGCCCGGAAGAGTCCGCTTTGAATCCCAGTTGTAGATAGGATGGTTCTGAGCTTGAGGTAGTGACGTCTTGGATATCACTGAGGTTTGAGAAGTATAAAAAGTGGGAGGTTATTTGGTGTGTCTGATGTTATGGTATTCAGTGCTAGTCGTAGCAAGCTCTTTTGATGAATGTCTCTCTGATTCCAGTACAGTCGAGAAAGATAAGACAAGAAAACTACTGCAGCTGTAGTTTATTGAGACGTAGATTTCTCAACACAGTTTTACCAAGTTTATCTCCTTGTTTTAGAGACCACCATCCTAGCAGAGTGTCATCGTACGTTTTAATCAATATACTAGCTCCCGTGGTGGTGAGAACACGCGTGCATGTGCTAGAGAGTCCGCCAAGCTACCAATAGTAGGAGCTAGGGGGTTGAATATTCGCAATTAAGATATATCATTCGGTCTTTCACAAGTTCATTGTGTAATCAAATCCTCTGAAGAGCCAAGACGGCATTACCGAGCGCTTACAACTGCCATTTCAGAAATGACTAGTGCCCTAGTCTGGACTACCCCGGAAATACTAATTATCACCGAATGTGGGGAGGCAACCCTTACCGTCAGATATGCCATTTGCGCAAGCAAGTGCGGAGAAGGATATATCGAACCTGCCGATCATCAAGACTCGGAAAAAGACGGTGGTTACTTCTCTGCGGATGGTACAGTCCGGTGGTGCTTGGACCGCAGGGTTTATTTATCATGGCCTTTCTCTTCATTCCAGCGGTGATTCTGGAAGATGAAGTTTTTCACTCTTTGACAGGTTCACATGGTGCTGCTTATAAAGATCCTCCTCGCCGCTTTGCCAGGCGTGGTCGCTGGCCTTTCCCCAACCGCCACGGTCAAGAACGGTACCTACGAGGGGAAATATGTTGCTTCATACGATCAAGATCTCTTTCTCGGCATCCCCTTCGCTCAACCACCCGTTGGGGAGCTCCGTTTCCAGAACCCACAGAGCTTGAACAGCACCTTTGGCACGAGAAACGCCACCGAATATGCTGATTCCTGCGTTGGCTATGGGGTAAGACTAGCCTTTGCTTTAAAACTCAGTACCCTGAATAACCCACACTCCAGAACAGTGCGGCCTGGCCTCACACACTCAGTGAAGACTGCCTGACATTGAACATTGTTAGGCCTGCTAAGTCAGGACAGAGTCAGGATTACGAGCTGCTGCCTGTTGGTTTCTTCACTCACGGAGGAGGGTGGTCGATGGATTACAGTGCCAACGGGGTCTACAATCTGAGTTTTATCGTCGAAGAATCGGTCAAGATGGGAAAACCGTTCATTGCCGTCTCA